CAAGTGAGAAGTGATCATACACAAGCTCACTGTCTCAATGTTGGATAACTAGTTTGCAATTTTTTTTCACATTGCCAGTAGCCCAATAGAAAAAGCTCTGACTTCTATTTTTTCATCTGGCAATGGTGATTTTGAATTTCTATTGCGTATTCATCTATCTATCAATATGTATATATATATATATTGACACATGCATGTTAAATTAGAAACTATTCATAAAAAATCCAGCTAAACAGTCTTTTTTTCTTTTTTGAAGCATTCCTCTCTTCTTCAATCCGGCTTTGACCGATTGCTCTTCCCTTCTTTTGAACACTTGATTTTAAAATCTTTTTTATGAACTGTTTAAAAAAAGCGAAAAACTCTCCGAACGCCTGTATGTATTTGACTTGTTTCATCTATCTGTCTGAACTAGTCCGATATTGAATGATTCCTCGTCTCTACTCATTTTCTAGCCGTTCTTTATGGGTGATCGCTTACTTTGGACACTGCTTAGATATGTCCTAGTCTCAGTATATTAATCATGGGCAATACTGACGTTGGCGCACAAATATTGATTGTCATTGATTGTACATCTTAATTAATATAAATCAGTATTGGCTTGTTAGTGTTTTACAGAGCACTGATGTCAATGCAGTTAATTTTGTAATGAACTTCTTGTCAGTAGCGTCAGTATCAGTAATATTGCCGTGTTAACCTTGACACTGAACATCCTTTCATATACTCTTATCTAAGTATAATAGAATATGAAAGAGAACTAATTAAGTAGATTTTCGTCTTCGTTTACTATATTCATTATTTTGTCAAGTAGAATATTTCTATGACACATGATAAACAAGTTTGTTGTTTTGAATTAGAGATTTAATAGATATATAATGTTCGCGAGAATGTACAAAAATATTAAAAAAAATAAGATATTAAAGGAGCAAAACAAATGAAAAAGAGACTTCACATATTATAGACACACATTCACAAAAAAAAACAACAATTGTTGTACTAAGTTCATCAATAAAGAAGATAGACGATGCTCAAACAAAACAGTTATCTATTTACAATTAGAATACAACAAGAGAAAAGACAGATCATATGTTTAAGTTATATTATAACATAATTACTACATAAGTAACAGATTTATTTAATTATTCGATAAACGAATTTGAATCATCACCAAATCCAGACGATACATCGGAAAATAAGCGTATACGAGCAAAATCTAATGATATTAAATGAACATCTTCATTTTGTCGATTGCTCTAAGAAAAAAAAACGCATAAGGTGAATACAAAGCTGTTTAAAATTGATAATAACAAAACTCAAAGCAAATACTAACGATGGAAGTATTTCAACTGATTAATCACTTAAGTTGGAGCTATGTGCATCATGTAGACCCTTATGAGTGAGTTATGAATACCCTGAATAGAGTTCGGGGATATCGTTTATTGCTGTTGACATATTGCATGTTTACAGTGTTTTTCAATACGATGCTGTAGTCCTACACCTCATGAATACCAAGCCAACTCACTTTCGAATTTTGACTTGAAACTTTGCATAAAAGCAAGTCTTAACGAAAATAATTAATCGTGAAAATGTGAGGCCATTTGATTTATTGCTATCCTGAAATAAGAACATCAAATATGTGAGCGTATATGAGCGATGTAAATTACGTTCTTTGTGCCATGGCTATATCTAGGATAGGAACAGCGAAAATATCTCAGACTTTTAAAGTAAATTATTCTCGTCACAGCTTTGTTTCTATGCAAATTTCATGTCGAAATTTAAAAGTCACTTTTCCTGACATTCCTGAGGAAGAAGATGATGGCTTGGCATTGAAAAATACTGTAGAAATACAATATATCGATAGTTATAAACTATAGGCCCAAACATTTTTTCGGAGTATTTATAACTCGTCAGAGTCTACATGATGCACATAGTCGCAAGCTAGGACTGATTAATCAGTTTGTACTCGCTAACCTTTGATTGCATCAAAGAAGAATAGATAAAATTTTTATTTGTCATTTATCTTAAAAGAAAATTCGTAACTCACTTGGTTCGATAAGACATTTGAATAAGCATTATGTTGATGAATTGAAATAGGAAAAAAACGTGAATCACAATTACTGTTCAATATTGGTGAAGAATTTGTTTCATAACCATCATCCAGTGCTGATGATTGAATACCAGCCAAACGTAATAAATCAGGTGTAAGAAATTCTTCATTATTGGATAAATTTGTAGAAAATATTCGATTATCAACATTTTTATTATCGATTATTATTGGTGATGATATTGTTGGTGATGGCGTATTTATAATTCGACGTAATGGTTCAATATATGAATATTCTTAATAATAAAGAATTAAATAAGAATAATTTTCGAAATCAAATACAACAAAAACAAATAATTACTTTGCTGTTTCCTTGATGATGATGAATTATTTTTATTTACATTTGCAGCAAATTCAACTTTAAGTTTTCGTCCTTTTAATATAGCTCCATGTGTTTCTTGACGTGCTCGTTTTGCATCATCAGCATGAACAAAACGTATAAATGCAAAAGATTCATGAAATTTAGCACATTCATCAATAAGACCATATGGTGAAAAAAATCGCCAAAGATCACGTTGTGTTATACGTGCTGCCATATTACCAACAAATAGTTTATGATTATCCATTAGTCTTGATCCTTGGTTAAATATTACTTAGATTTAAAACACAACGAATATAACAAAGTCACCAGTTTTAGATATGATTATCGAAATAGATAGGATAATGACATGACGTATATGTAAAAAGATAAATTTTTCTTTTTTTTTTTTTTCGTTTCGATTTTATTTCAATGTACATTCATGACGTAAACAGACATATACAAAGAAAGAATGATAAAGAAAATACTACTAGTTGGTAATCTTTCATGAAAGACAAATCACGTGTTAATTTATAAACAAAGAATATTTCATCAAATAACATGTATAAGATTATCTATTGGTTAAATCTTTAATTGTATTTTGATAAATCGCATCATTATAATCTAATAGTATCATATGATAAACAGACGAAAATCTTAAATTAACAAATTGAACAAAAAAACCACTTGCTATAAAAATAAAATATTTTTGACAATGAAAAATTTCGATGTTGAGACGTATAGATGAATGAAATCATGAATCAAGAAGAGAATAACTTGTAAGTTCAAGTTTATGAAATTGATTGATAATTCATAATGATCAAAAGACTTTTTCGTCAAATATTTTTAAATGATCATAGGTGTGTTCTGAAGTCATCAAGACTGGCTGAAGCGGAGTCAACTATTGCAAAGATAAGTTTCACGACATTTGGGGTGGGTTGATCCTTTTTGCGAAAATTTGATGAGCAAAAAACACCGAAAATTTTTGAGATTCGGAAGAGTCAGCTCTTGACGAACTCTGCTTGGAATGCCTCGAAATGATGATCACATAAATTAAGCTATTAGAAATAAAAAAAGAAAAGAAAATCATTTCAAACAAATTCGCATTTCAAATTAATCCAATGTCACTTATTCGATAAACTAAAACGTACGTTGAAAATATTTCATTTTATCTTGTTAAAAAGAATTTATGGAGATGTTCACATATTACTCCATATGGAAGAGAGGGATGGATGTTCTGAAGTTTTACAAGTAACGCGACGTTAGCGTCGCCAGCCCTTGATAGATTTGTAATGTATATTTTATTATATTTGGAATTATTTTTTGAATTTCTATTGAAAATGTTATTACATGATTTTGTAATATTGTTGAAAATATACGAAATAGCGATTCACGTAATGGAGATGATATATTGAAAATACTAAAATGACTTATAAAACTTGGATCAATATTATTATCACTTCCACCTACAACATAGAAATAAATCAGTAGGTTAAACAATTTTCTTATTCTAATGAGAGAACCATTCGAACTGATACCCGTCGTTTGAGTCTAAGATGGCTGGAAAAAGTTGTACAACAACGAATTTTTGTTTTTTTTCTATAATGAGAAGCAATTAGCTCGAATCTAGATCGTGATTTTAATATAGTCAATAAAGTTTTCTATCTAATACATTCAACACCAAGATTTTTAAAAGATACAGACATTCGAGTTTTCAAGGGTCCGGAGGCTAGTTTTTAAGAATACCATTTTAAAGAAAACAAAATTCTAAACGAAATGAGTAGCCGCTGAATTTTCTACCACCTTCCTTTACAAAGTTAAAAGTATCACAAAAAATCAACTGAAAAACACATTTTCTCGATTTTTGTAATACTTTTAACTTTTTAAGGGAAGGTCTAAACAATCACAGCGCAAAAATCAAAAAACAGAATTTCGATATGAAGTTTCGTCCGTAGAATATCACGAGCGTTTTAGCAAAATAGAATGTATCTTTTTTTTTTATCGAGCTATTGAATTATTTAAATAAATTCGATATCTCGAAAAAAGAACATTCTTTTTGGCTGAAACTTTCAAGATATTCAATAAGTCATTCCACCTATCTACGGGCGAAATTTCATGTTTAAATTTAGTTTTTTTGATTATTCAGTATATATATCTAAAGCTAGATCGAAAATTCTATAAAATGATCCTAACTTGACTCCAAAGGTTCATGGGAATGAACTGTGTTAAGTTTATTCTAGTTCTACTTAGACGACTTTGTAGACTCAATATAAATTTAAACGATGAATATCAGTTTGCGTAGTTCTCTAATAGTAATTTGTTACCAAGAGTGCTCATTGCAGCAATCCAATTAATATCTGTAACAAATTTCCAATTAAGTTCTACAGTTCGTTCATACGTTCCATGTTTTTCAATAAATAATTGAAGTAAAGCAATTGATTATTGTGTTTCCTATTGATCGATTTTTGGCATAGAAATATCATCAAGAAATATGATTAATTCAGTACCAGCTTTTGGTCCATAAGTATCTTTTGAACGTTTTTGTAATTGAGATTCAATTGAACGTTGTACACCAATTGATTTTGTACGAGAAGAAAAATTTCAAATTAAACTTATATATTGTGAACCAAAATTATCAATATAAGATAGAATAGTTGCTGTTTTACTCGATTCAGTATCACCAACGAATAAAACAGGTTGATGAATGATTATCATAGATTTAATTAACCATTCTAAATCAATATTCTATGAAATATTAATAAATTCAAAACTAAACAGATGATTTCTTCAGATGCCGATTTCAATGATTTTGTTTTGCTTATAGACACTATATAGTATTCTAATGATCAGCGCAACAGGATTTGGGTTAAATATCGTATTTTTGTTAATTTTGTTTTGAAATTATCTCCACTTGAAGGTATAATACATAGTAGGTTGTATAAAAGGTTGCATAGTTTCTAGACTTCGTTTTTTCATGATATGAACTTTTCAAAATAATTATTATTGTATTATTGACAACGCTTCGAAGAACGCTTATTTTCGAAAAGGTCATAGCTTGGAGATACCAAATCTACAAACTACTATGAATGAGGCCTTCAAATGGAGATTGCTTCAAGACAATGCTCAAAAATAAAATTTTACGAAAATCTAGGCTTTCCAAAAAATAGACATTGAAAATTCAATAGCTCCATCAAGTCTCAATAGGCAAAAAATTCATTGAGATCGAACATCTCAAAATTGCCGAATACACAAGATGGTTCATTATTGTGTCATTTGTTATTCAAATCATTCATCTGACAGTAACTGATCTGTCCGAAAAGTTTTGTTCTGTTTTTTTGGAACAGAATTTTAGTAATAGAACAAAGGTTTTTATATGGGGAAGTATCTTTCTTGGAAAAAAGAACAAAAATTTCAATGAGCGAGACATTCTTTAGTTTTGACAAAAAGAATGAAGAAAATTTTCGAATACTTTACATCATTTTCGAGAATAGTAGAGATATTAATCGTATATTTTGAATAAAGACATACGTTTTTTTGTTTTTATCATACCTAAACGAATTGTATTAATAGCTGGAACAAGTAATTCAGTAGATCGTTTTGATCGATTATGTTCATATTTTGGAATAAGATCATTCCATTTTTCTTGTTTAAGACAAACACCAAATGACAAAATAAATGATTGAAGAAATATAGCATGAATTTTATCAGAATTTAATTCTAATTGATCTTTTTTCTCATGATTAATTAATGGTAAAAATAATGAATCAAATAATTTTGCTAATTGTACAATAATATTCACTTGAGTTCTAAGAACAATAACATTCTTTTTTTGTCTACTTACAATGGAACAATCATTTTCATTCTTGGTCTTTGTCCAATTTCTGTTAAATCATGATAAATAAAATTTAAAACATTTTTTGTATAGCGATCATAAAGTAAATCTAATTGATCTTTTTCATTTGATCGATCAGTTAAATTCATATTTAACCAACGTTTCCGTATTGAATATGGACCTAAATTATCTGGATCAACATAAATCATTCCACAACGTGATACGGTTGCTAGTGATGCATATTGTAAATCATCGACTTCAAATAATAATGAACAATAATCTTATAAACGAATACATTGCCCATTAGCTAATGTTAATAGTTTATTATCATCCATAACTGAATTCTAAAAATAAAAACAAATAGAAACCACATTTAATTTATTAAAACAATCGAAGAGAAAAAAAAACATAATATAACGTCTTTCATTACGTATTGTTGGTCGATTAATCATGCGATAAAGCATCGAGACAACACTATCAATTCATTCACCTACATGTAAATAATATTTTTCTTTATATCACAAGCAAAATTATATTTTAGTATTCAATCTAGGATCTCTCGTTAGACAAACATTAATTTAGATCATTCTCGAATTGACAAGGTAACCATCGAACATGAAATTTTATTTTCAACAAAATACAATATCTAATGGCAAGTAAATAACACAAAAACAAATCGGCGAAGGGTACTAGTGTGGATTTACTTGTTCTCTTCGTCTTCTCTTTTACACCTACAGTCGAGATACAAATTAATTGTTTTACTTTTCCGAAGTTTGTTTTAGCATAAGTGGCGATTCAATATCATTCACATTTTTCTCTTTCAGTTTTTATTCACTACATTCTTTGGATTCAACCAACATCTCCACATAGAATGGAATATACTTAGTCTCAAATTCAAAAATTGGTCTTAATCTTCGTCCAAAGTGAGATCTGAGATTAAACACTAACGTATATGTATATATATGCATACGTGTCAATGGATCAAGTATACCATATAGTTCAATAACACTTCAGGGTGCTTTCACGCCGGTCCGCTCACTTTTACATCGACCTTCTGCAGGCAAGATTTAACCATGCTAGTTTTGTAGCCTGTGTCGAGTTGTGTAGGAAACCATATTTTATTTTTAACCAAAACATGCGCTAAGTCCTGCAGACACGGCTCAAAATTCAATTTTCTAAAAATCCGATCCCGTAAGCCAACAAGTTTCGATTTTTGCGACCATGACATGACAATCCTAATAATGTCATTGGATAGAGCATAAAAAGTTGTCTCTATGCAATAATTTTCGGGTGTACACATAAAACTCCGAAGCGACGGCACACCTGCAAAAACCGAAAAATTCCGTTTTTTGCTAAAATTGAGTACTCTAGAAACCCTACATGCGGATCTGGATACCATAGTTTATTAGCACCAAAATGAAGCTTAAGCAATGCTGGATGGAAATAGTTGGATTGAGTTTTCAAAATACCTTTCGTAGTTGGAGTATACGACTAACCAAAACCAGGGATTTCTGAAAACCCTATGTTAAACCTTCATTTTCTCGAGAACTACATGCCAGAATTCGTTCAAATTTTTTTTCTAAGTAGCCTTCAGTAGGTACTACCTCTGCTTAGAATATTACCTCCCCCATCCTAGAATTGCAAAACTTATGATGACTAGAATTTCTTAAAATTCGAAGTGTTATAATTTAAGGTTTTCCGATTATGATTGTGAAAATAATCATTTCAATGATGCATATATGGTAACTCTTTATTCTGAATATAAATAAGCTGATAGCAGCATCTGATTGAGAGAAGACATTTGTAATATATAGAGAAAAAGTCAGGGGCGTACCTCAGGTGCCAGAGCAGAGGGGGCGTAATCCTAGTTTTTCGATTTCGGTCAGGGGCAGAGCACAGAGGTCAAAGCGGCGGGGTATCTTTTTACGACGATAACCAAGGGGGGAGGGTAGCTTTCGAGATCTTCCATGTTTCATGAAAACTACCGACCGCTACCAAGCCCGGGGAGGGAAGCGTAACCCTATTTTTCTCTATTTTCATCACAAAAAAAAACGAAATTTTGAAAAGCAGGGGGGGGCCGTCGTAAATCCCTTTTTTCCTATTAATTTTCGGAAGCAGGGGGGTCGTTACGCCCCACGCGCCCCCCCCCCC